CCCCCGAGTACCTTCCAATAGATGAGAACTCTTAATCTAATCTGCAGTGCTCCACAGCAGTACCCTCCTTGTAAAATGGCATAAAAGGGAGCACAATCACCACAACATTGCCCAGAAGACTTCAGGAAGATAAAGCTTGCCTTTGCACCAACTCTTGAGCTACACTTGCTGCAGCTTTCTTTTCAGAAGTACACTGTTTCCTTGCAACAGAACCAGACTCAGTAATTGTGCCTTAGACTTGTAAAAGTGCCTGGTACTATATCAAAATGAGTAACACTGATTCCAATTATTCATTTAGACCATGTGTAGGTATAGACTAGCTACTAGAACAGGAAGAATTATAAGCCATTATTTTAATAAGCCACAATGGCAAATATACAAATACCTATTTATAGAGGAAAAAGTCTTTAGTGCTGAAGTGCTAGTGCAACAAGGCAGGTTATTTCACAGTTCCCCCACAACTGCCCTGCAGATAGCCAGAGGACAACTATAACTCTGACAGCAGGTAACAGCTGGTTAACATCCAGAATAAAAAAATAAATCCAGTCTTGATCAGTTTCACTGCAGTAATCAGGAGGTGAGGATACACCTTAAGAGGGTGAAAATCCTGGCTTAAAAATTGATTTGACAACTTCAGTAATCCGTGTTCAACTTCCCATATGCATAGTATCTGGAAGGTTAAGAGCAGTTATCAAGACTTCCTAAATTTGAGGACAGTAAGCATCTCTTGTCCTGCTTGCCTGGAAAGTGCTCGTGTGCCTTCTAAGCCACATTTCTTCATCATTTCCAGAATTTCATCTGTAATTGAAAGTGTAGCGTTACAACTCGGTTTATATAGAAATCAGCTATAAGAGGCAGTGCTTAAAGCATCTACCAAACAAGCTGTAAAGCAGATCATAAACTGTGTTCTCTTACTCTTTTGTACAGTAATTTTTACGCAAAGTAGTTTTCCACCAAGAACAAATGAAGTTTACAATTTACTAACTGAAGTTGTGTATTTTGGATTATTACTAGCAATGAATAATTCAGTTATGAAGCTAATTTGTAGGAGAAACTGAAATTTGTAGCACCTTCTCCCAAAAGCTGCCTAATCAATCTGGTGTGAAAGAATAATCTCTCTTCTTGAAACTACTTGATAATGTACACCCATTAAGCATTAGATCACAAGGAGCAAGTCCAAATCTCTTCTCTCTGCATGTCAGAATGAAAGACATCACATTTCCTACTAAAGGCTTTTGCCTTTCAAGTTGACACCACCATTCTCTTTCATGAGAAAGAGTTGGCCTGACTTGATTACTTAGTTCAGAAGATTTATAATCACCTTTCAGACTTAGAATTGAAGTCTCACATTGCTGCTGAGGTCAGGACCTACACATTACCATTTTCCACACTAGCTTAGGGAGTTCTTAGTTTTAGTAAATTTGCTGATTTATTTGGTGTAGCTCACCATCCTATGGATGTACAAGGCATGAATTCGAAAAAGGATTCCAAAAGGCATCAGGTTATGCAAAAGTCCCTCTGTGGATTAGACACCCACACAAACTTGAAAGATGAGACGCACCAGAGTGCACAGAGATGCCAGGGTTTGTATGAAACATGCATATACGTTCTAGCCATCTCTAGCATTTCTAAATAATGACCTAGAACCCCTATATGAATTTCAATACATGCTGTCAATCTTCAGTTAGTTGCTATCATGTTAAAGATTCAACTGATGTTATGTACACATTTAAGGGTCTGATAAAAGTGATCACCTGGATTATTTTCTTTAATTGTGACCAAGTAGAATAATCCTCCCGGTGAAAGTAGGTCTGGTACTAATGGAAAAACTCTATCCATTACTTCTCTGCCCTTTTTGCCCCCAGCCCAGGATGCTTCTATTCCATGGCTTTGCACCTAGGAAGAATGAAAGATCGTCATAATACAGAAGGATAAAAGTGTCAGTGGTACTTAAAAGAGAAACATCACCATAATCTTTAGCTTTAGGCGTCTGCTGTTAGAAATCTGACAACTCTGATTCAACAGATTAGTTTATGCAGCAAAATCACTTCAAGACTACTTCCTACACCATGACCTTATCACTTTTGTTTCAAGTTCTATTCTTAAGTTGAATTAAAAGAGCTATGTTTTCATGTGCTCTCTATGCATTTTCTTGTAATGTTTTATGAGCTTGTTTGCTAAGTGGAAGAAAAACCTTTAAGTGGAAGAAAACCCTTTAAGTGTTCATGGGTCAAATTCTGAGAGTAGGAGTCTGCAGAAGCAGTGGGTGTTTATTTTGCGGGGAACAAATGCGTTTTCCATTGCAAGTCTTCTATAAGAATACCTTTAGACGCCTAACAGAAGTCTTACATGGTTTATATTTGATGTAGAAAGTAAGCATTCAGAAGCAGCAACAGCAGTTAGCAATCCTTATTCCTATGCAGTCTTTATAAGCAATTCTAGTAAACCATTTTCACTAAAACAGTGCTGTTGCAACAATGCTGGTCCTACCACAGCTTTTACTGTTTCCAAAAAACCCCCTCCAGTTTTCATACTAGAGATTTGATTTGCTATCTCTCCTCTGACAGCAGACATAACATTTTTATTGTGTATTTCAAATTTTTCCTACCTCTTCAGAAGGTGTTACCACGTATGGTGGATTAAACAGCAGTAGATCAACCTTCCCATTTAATCTTGGAGACAGTCCTTTGACCTGGATGAAGGTCAACCAAAAAACAAACCGTTGATGATTTGATGGTTTTGGTTTTTTTGAACATAATGCAAACATTTTGTAAAAATACAGTTACATAGTGCTAGATATTCTGAGCATTTCAGCCTGACTCAGGAACATTAAACCTTACTTTCTACATGCAAAAGAAGCATCAAGAAGTACCCATGCACAGCAGACCAATTTCAGTAGTCTTAAGACTACGTTATGTATGGGATGCAGAAGAACAAGAGACATATGCAGACACAAAGGCAGAACTTTATTCTTGCTCAAATGTATATAGTAATATTGATTTTAAAAAAGATATATAGTCATTTTGAATTTATCATCAGTTAATATTTATTACCCAAAATGACCAGTCTGTGACAACTTTCAGTTGTCAAGTATGAGCAGTTGTTAATCCATTTTAAATCACATTTATTGTTGCCTATCTTCATCATCTTCAGGGTATTTTAAACAAGTATCTTCCTGAAGAGATGAGAAACATAGCTTTTCTTCATGTCAAACTTTATAAGCAAAAAAAGTAAGAACATCTACAGTTCCTAATCAAATCAGAGAGCTGAGAACCAAGAACTGCATTAGAGGGAGATCTGTGACAATGTCAGGTCACAACAGAATTCCTTGCACAGCACTTCCCAAATGATGTCTACATAATTTATTTTTCAAATTAATTCAGCGTATTGTTAAAGCTTAAATTTGAATTTCAGAGATTAAGTAATTTGTTTTCCCTTCTTTTAGAAACACTGGCATTTTTTTGTTTTCTTTTTTTCACCCGTGCTTATTAAGAGAATGTTTGTATGTCTCTTCTAGACTTCAAGGTTACTTCTCAGTATCTCTTAAGTATTAAAAAAATTACAAAAACCATAAAGAAGCTATTATTGAAACATCTATCTTACCAAGTCAGTAATGACTGGCTGGAGGTGAACATTGTTAAGCAGAGCTGTCTCCAGTGTACAGTAAGCTGCCAGCGGGTTGATATCTGTACATCTAAAAGCAAAATATTATCAAGTGTAAGTTACTGCTGTATCTGGAAGTTTAACCTTATGAACCACATGCTAACTTACGTACTCTCAATGAAAATACTCTTTCCAGCATGCTTTACTGTGCAAGTAAATAGCAAAAAATACCTAGTAAATTACAAACAATGTATCAGCAGCTAAACCACTCTACACTGGAAGTTTTAATGACTGTCTGAAAGCTGAAACATAGGGATTCCTTTTCAATGATAGCTCTGCCCAAATATATATGCATACATGCCTATAATACAGTTCAGTTACTGCCAACACTCAGGTAACTAACATCATCATATCTCAGTAAGACTAGTCAGTGACTAAAATTTAGGATTCAACCCAGAAAACACAAATGTAAACTTAGCAATTTGTCTAAGAAGTGAGGAAATGGAATTCTAGTCACACCACTACCTGTTACAGAACCTGAAGTAAATAGTTTAGGCTCTCTTTAATTTGATTTCCATGTCTGTAGAATTGAGGTAGTATTTCTTTGTGGAAAGAATATTTTAAAAGGTGAAAATAAAAAGTATATATGTGAGGGCTAGGTATTCTTTATTATTGCATTCAACAGTTTAAGTGCTATTTATCACAGAATCGTCTAGGTTGGAAAAGACCTTGAAGATCATTTAGTCCAACCATTAACCTAACACTGACAGTTTCCAACCACACCAGATCCCTCAGCACTATGTCGACCTGACTCTTAAACACCTCCAGGGGTGGGGACTCCACCACCTCCCTGGGCAGCCCATTCCAACGCCTAACAACCCCTTCTGGAAAGAAATGCTTCCTAATATCGAGTCTAAACCTTCCCTGGCACAATGTAAGGCCATTACCTCTTGTCCTATCGCTTATTACTTGGTTAAAGAGACTTATCCCCAGCTCTCTGCAACCTCCTCTCAGGTAGCTGTAGAGGGCGATGAGGTCTCCCCTCAGCCTCCTCTTCTCCAGACTAAACACCCCCAGTTCCATCAGCTGCTCCCCATATGACCTGTGCTCCAGAGCCTGCACCAGCTTCACTGCCCTTCTCTGGACACGCTCGAGTCATTCAATGTTGTTTTTGTAGTGAGGGGCCCAAAACTGGACACAGGAATCGAGGGGCGGCCTCACCAGTGCCGAGTCCAGGGGTCAGATCCCTTCCCTGTCCCTGCTGGCCACGCTATTGCTGACACAAGCCAGGATGCCTTATATACTTACATGTACAGTGCATTGGATCCAATAATGGAAGAAGCTAGAAATGCTGAAACCACACCAGATCCAGATCCTATTTCAAGGCAGATCTCAAGTCTAAAGAGAGAAAACTCTGGATGACACTTACTTCTAACATGTAAGAGCACCTGCAACAGATGCAGAATTAATCAAGACAGTGTTATGGAACCTGCTGCCCTTCTCCCAATGGTACTGAAATACTTGACCATAGGGCCCTCAAAGCCCACATTATGTCATCTGTTTCATAATGGCTGCCCGGCCTACTGGTGCCCATACCGACAATTCCTGGTTATCACAAGACACTTTGGGAAACACAGGTCTCCCCCATGCCTAACATCAAAATTTTCATTAACTGCACAATCTCAACAGTACAGGCTACATTTCTACAGCATTTATTACACATTTATTGCAGCAAGACTTAAGTCCGACAGAAGTTCTGGAAGATCACCATGAAGCCACACAACAAAAGCAGGACTCAAATACAAAATAACTCAGGGGAGTTTCAGCCAGCTCTGGACAAACAGCAGTGGCAGGCAATTACAAAATAATCACTCATAAGATTAACTCCTTGGGCAACTTCCACAGCTGTCACGTAGCCATATGTCAGCTGTGGAGATGACTGACAGTGGGCAGCAACCTGAGCAGCTATGCAACTCCTACAGCTTCATCAGGGTTGAGATACGGCCCTTTTACCCTATTCAGGTACATGCCGCTCCCACCAAAATGAAGTATCAGCCCTCCACGCAGCTGCTCAGGCATTACCTCCCAGCGTAGCACCCTGCAGACAACGAGGCCCTCTGAGGCGAGCTGCGGGCCCGCAGCACCGCGCTCCCCTCAGCTCGCTGCTCGGAGGGAGGGG